GCTGAGTCCAGAGAGGTGACTCAGGCCCTGCTAACAGATCTGAAATAGAGCTCCTCACTGGCTTTAAGAAGGTGTCAGCCCCGTGTGAACAGCGAGCGGGGAGAATTCCCTTGGGGAAGGAGGCCCTCTGCTTTGCCCGCAAAGGGTCCTGTTTGTCCATTCTTTGAAAAAGTAGTAGCAGGTTTTTTTCCACTCAAGGCAAATCCCACCAAAGTAGATTGCCAGGATTCCTGAGGAAGGAGAAGTTGACGGGACAGCAAATTTCCATGGCTATAATCCATTCTTCAACCACTGGACAGGTGCTGGCCTCCAGGTATGAAAATGTTGATTAACAAACACTGTTATAGATAGGGATGGATATGTTCAACTTAATGTTAACAGAAATCAATGTAAGATTGACAGATAAGCAGTTTTTTTTTGGGGCAATAAACTTTTATTTTTATTATTTTTACAATGAATCACCGTGAAATAGTTACAAAGCTTTCATGGGGGCCAGAGCAATACAGCAGGTAGGGTGTTTGCCTTGCATGAGGCCAACCTGAGTTCAATCCCCACATTAAAAAAAAAAAAAATCCCTGGCATCCCATATGGTCCCCCAAGCACCGCAGGGAGTAATTCCTAAGTGCACAGCCAGGAGTAACCCTTGAGCATTGCTGGGTGTGACCCAAAAAGCAACAAAACAACAACAAAAAAAACAACAAAGCTTTCATGATTGGATTTCAGTCATACAATGTTCTAATACCCAAATACCCATCCATCCACTAGTGCACCTTTCCCCCCAGTATCCACCTGACAACCCCCCCCCCCCCACTCCACCCCAAGTCTGCTTCTATGGCAGGCACTTTTCTTCTTTCTCTCTGTTTTTGGCCATTGTGGTTTGCAGTACAGACACTGAGAGGCCGTCATACTTGTTTTTTTACCCACTTTTAGCACACAGCTCCCTTCCAATCATCATTGTCATAATGGTCCGTTCTCTATCCCATGTGCCCTCTCCCCCAGTCCTTGAGGCAGGCTTTCAACTGTGGACCAATCCTCCTGGTCCTTGTTTCAACTGTCCTTGGGTATTAGTCTCATGCTATGGTTTTTTATATCCCACAAATGAGTGCAGTCATTCTATGTCTGTCCCTCTCCTTCTGACTTAACTCAGCATGATACTCTCTATGCTGATCCATTCACAAGCAAATTTCATGACTTCATTTTTCCTAACAGCTGTATAGTATTCCATTGTATACATGTACCATAGTTTCTTTAACCAATCATCTGTTCTCAAGCACTTGGGTTGTTTCCAGATTCTGACTACTGTGAACAATGCTGTACTAAACTTTCAAGTGCAGATGTCATTTCTGCTCTATGTTTTTGCAATCCAGGAGTACATTCCCAGAAGTGCATTTTCAAACTGGCTCTGGGTATTGATGAGAAACACATCTTTTTTTTTTTTAATTTTTATTAGTGAAACACCATGAGGTACAGTTGTAGACTTACAAATTTTTGTGCTTGGGTTTTAATTATACAATGATCAAATACCCATCCCTCCACCAGCGCCCATTTTCCACTACCACGAATCCCAGTATCCCTAACCCCCCCCCCCCCCACTGTCCTCCCCATCATACCCTGCCTCTGTGGCAGGGCATTCCCTTTTGTTTTCTCTCCTTTTGGGTGTTGTGGATTGCAAAAGAGGCATTGAGTGGCAATCAGACACACATCTTTTGAGAATGGGGACACAGTTGGTGATGCTCAAGGAATCATGCAATGCCAAGGATCAAACATGGGATTCCCACAAGCAAAGCATGTGCTCCAGCCTTTTGAGCTCTCTTCCCAGTGTGAAATGCATTTTCCCTTTTTCTTTTCTTTCTTTGGGCTATACCCAGCAATGCTTAAGATTTACTCTTGGCTCTGTGTGCAGGGATCACTCCCGGAGGGGTTCTGGAGGAGGAAGGGCATATGTGGTATTAAGGATTACACCCAGATTGGCCATTGCAAGGGAAATGCCCAAACCGCCATACTATCTTTCCAACTCAGAGCAAGGCATTTTCCATGGCCAGAGGGAATTGGAAGTACTCCAGGGAGCATGAGAAAAGTCTTAACAAAGTTGTTTTAGGGTTTAAGGAATAACATGCATATCAGATGGCACAGTCACCCAGATTGTCCTGTTAATAGAAACTGGGGCCCAGGGCTGTGGTTGAGGTAGTCGAGGACATGCCTTGTATGTAAGAACCCTCAGTTTTATCATACTTATTCACACCTAACCCTTCTCCTCAGGCTGAGCCTGGCAGTCCAGAGTGATACCAGGCCCAGGCACCACACCAACTTAATATATATATCTGAGTGAATTTATATTGGGAATACAAATATACCTAGCCTTTAACAAACTGATTAGTCTGTTCATTCAAATATTTAGGCACTGATAAAAAAAGGTTTTTGGTGATTCTGTGGTAATAAAACACAAGACTCTGCTCCCTGGTAGCTCTTATTCCTGAGAAAATTTACATCTAAAACAGTCATGGAAACAAGGATCCAATCAAGGTGGACTCATATAAATCGGATTTACTCTTTACCTGATACAGCAAATAAAAAGAAAAACATAAATAACACAAAACAATGCTTTCCTAAATGCTGGGCATCAGCATCGAGGGATAGTGAACCTGCAGGATGGCAAACAAATAGGGGCCAGCATCAGTCACTTCACTGATGATGTGGGAAGTTTGTCAAGGTTGCAAGGGTAGAGCCAGGCAGAAGCACGAGCTCAGGAGGCTGTGCGAGGACTTGGGGAAACTTAGGCTGTTAAGATTTGTCAGACAAAAATGCCAAGGAACACGCTGTAGAGAACCCGACCTCCCAGGAAGCACACGGAAGCATGGCTAGGGAGAAGCTGCCTGAAATGACTAGGACAACCCAAGTATTCACGAGCAGGCTTGTTGCACTCAATCCCAATGGGAAACTCCTCACTGTCCCTGTACGGGAAACAGCTTCTCCTACAGGGAACATTCCTGCCTGGCATCTAAATAAAGCTTACACGGCATGAAAAAGGTAACCTGGCATGAAGACTTGTATTCAGAATTTATAAAGAACTCGCAAAACTAAGAAAACCAACCAGGTTTTTAAGAAGGAATGATCTACACTTCCCCTTTAGCAGAGATAGATATACGGATCATAAGTTAGTCCATAAGAAGATTTTCCACCTCATGAGCTTTAAAAAATGCTAGTGTAGGAGGAGAGGCAGTACAACGGGTAGGGTGTTAGTCTTCCGTGTGGCTGACCTGGATTCAATCCCCAGTATCCCAGATGGTCCCCCAAGCACTGCCAGGTGGGATTCCTGAGCATCAGCGGGTATGTCACCCCCACTTCCCCTGTCCAAACAAACAAAATGCTAGTATGCCCAGCTAAGCTCAGTCAGTGGGGCATGAGATTCTTTAAAAATGCTAAAGCCACAATGAAATACCATTCTACACTCATACACATGATAAACATTTGGGCCAGAACAACAAACAGCAGTCAGGGGTCTTGCCTTGCACATGGCCAACCCAGGTTTGACCCCCAGCCCCCCATATGGTCCTCCAACCCTGCCAGGAGTGATCTCTGAGCACTGTCAACTACGGTCCACCTGCCAAACCAAAAACTACCAAGAATAAACATTTAAAAAAGACAATTATACCAAGTGTTAATACAAAATTGGGCTGAGAAGGGGCTCAGAGGGCTGGAGCACATCCTTTCCAAGTACGGAGGGGGGTGAGTTCGAGTCCCAGCACCAAAGGGTCCCCTGGGCACTGCCAGATGTGGCCCCCAAATGAAAAGCAAACTGAAACTCTCATTTATGACTGATGGGTATGTAAAATCGCCTAAGGACTTTGGAAAATAGTTTCACAGTCTCTTTAGTTGTTAAACACTTACCAACCATATGGCTCAGTCATTCTCTTTCAAGATATTTACCCAAGAGAAACAAAAGCCTGAACCCACACAAAGGTTTGCACACAATGGTCATCAACACCTGAAAACAAACCAGATGTCCTTGAATAGATAGGTGAATGGATAAAGCTACTCAAGGAACAACTACTTATGAATGGAAAAAAAAGCCTCTGAAGGGCCAGAGTGATAGCAGGTAGGGCAGTTGCCTTGCAGGTAGTGATAGCAGGTAGGGCGGTCGCCTTGCATACAGCTGACCCAGGTTCGATTCCCGGCATCCTATATTGTTCCCCGAGCAGCACCAGGAGTAACCTGTGAGCATCACCAGGTATAACCCAAAAAGCAGAAAAAAAAAAAAGCCTCTGATACAGGCTCTACTTATGGATCTGAAATAGCTACAGAGCAAAATAAGCCTTCTTGAAGAGTTTATCATGTGAGACTCACTCTATTTACACTAAAAGGTAAAGGTAAAGGTAAAGGCCCTCCCGTTGATCATCGATTTGCTCGAGCGGGCCCAGTAACGTCTCCATTGGAGACTTTGTTGTTACTGTGTCTGGCATATCGAATACTCTCAGTAGCTTGCCGGGCTCTCTTTTCTATTTACACTAAATTCTAAAAAAGACAATTAATATTCAATGTCAGATGGCAGAGATATGCTTACCTGGGAATGGGGGGGAATACAGGGGGAGGGGAGGGGAGTGGGGCACAAGGACCCTTGGAGGTGATGGGGCAGGTGGGTAAGCACCATTGCCTGAGTGATACAAACATCAACACTCACCACCCACCTTGCACTCTTCAAATATGCGTAGTTTCTTGTCTGCCAGGTATCCCTCAGTAGAGCTGCCCCGTCTATCTACAGGTTCTACATTCTCTACTTTCCTCTTCATTCCACTTTAGAAAAATATGTGCTAAAACTTTGATAATCAGAAACCAGCAAGTACAGACATACCACTCATAAAAATTAAAAAAAACAAACAAACTCATAACTCATATTATAGACACTTTCCCCCAAAAGGTCAATATGAAAATAAAAAATTCTCATTCCAGAATTGAGAGCAAACCTGACACAACTCTCAATAATGAGCAATACCAGCTCCGCATCAGTCCTCCGGAGTCTCCGTATTGACTCTGTCCTGTGCACTGCTGTGGGTCCCAGCAGCGACTGCCCTGGACTCTGCAATCTGAACCACAGTCTCCAGCTGTTCTCCAAGCTCCTCTATCAGCGGCCGGGGCCCCCCAGGATGCCTGCAGGAGGTGAGTGGCCCTCCCTGACTGGCCTCGTTGTGCCCGGGGTTTCTGCGCGCCCCATCAGTGCGGAGGGATGGGAAGTTGCTCTCATCCACAGAGGGGCTCTTCTCCACTGCCTTGCTCTCCTTGAGCTCCTCTGGTTCTGAATCTGAGTCCTGGGACTCAGAGGCTGCAGTGCTGTCTGCTTCCTCCGAATCACTGGTCTCAGAAGTCGAGCTGGAAGTGTTCTGCCCAGAAATGGAATGAACTGCTTTCGATGCACTTTCTTCCTCCTGGACAAGAAGTGCTGCAGCTTCCAGTTCGTCCAGTTCCAATCCCAGCTGTGCCTTTGTCAGAGAGACTTCCTTTAAGGCTTCTGCAAGACCTGCCAACTTTTTGGACCTTCAAAAACATTAAGAAGAAATATTAGGATTATTCATTCGTTGGCTTGGGGATAAAAGTGTATGCAGCTAAAAAAACAACAGTCAAACCAAACAAGGATGAAGCCACTCTTCACACGACATACTGGAATAAATTCCAAAACAGACCAAAGATGCAAATGTACAAAGTGGAACTAGTTAAGTACTATGAGGAAACATGGTTCGTTTTTAAAAAAACAACTCTGCAATAAAGAAAAGTCTTCCTAACTACGACACAAAATCCAGGAGCCACATCAGAAAAGATTGGTAAATTCAACTTCTGTAGGAAAAAAAAAACCAAAAAAACACCAAAGAATATCAGCAGCATCAAAAGACAATTAGCAAACATGAAAAAATATTTCCAACTGACGTCACAGATCAAGTTCTTGAAATGAATACACAAACTACCAGAATAAGGAGCAAAAAACACGAGGCAGTTCTCAGAAGAGGAAGTACAAATGCCTCAAATATATGAAGACATGATCAGCTTCAGCTAAATAACAGAACTAGAAATTAAAGTCACCGGAAATATACATTTTCACTTATCAGGCTGGTAAAAGTCCAACACTGGGAAATATTGCCAGCAAGGTTGTGGGGGCAAGGTGTTTGCATCCATTGTTTCAGACATTATAGAGGCACAACCCTATGCAACGAGCGAGAACTGAATGCTTTGCAAAACTGCGAAGCACATTCTTCTGACCAGACCCACCACATCTGGACAGTAAACACTCATGCGACATGACACAAAATCATGGTTATTTACAACACTGTGTTGTTTTTGGTAAAAGCAACCAAAAAGTGAGGAGAACGAAGGGGGATCCGGAGAGAGAGAGAAGCAGGAGGAGAATCAGAGGAGAATGGAGAGGAGATTGGAATAAATTGCAACTGACACCGACCAGGCTGGCCCTCGCGCCTTCGCCTGCCTATCGCCATCGGCTTCCCTGGGGTGGGGTAAGCGGAGACCACCAAGCGGAGAACATGGGCGGAGCGCCTCTGCCCTTTAGTAAATACACAATTTTGCTTACTTATTTTTATTTTTTTAAAGTAGCACGCCTCAAGACAGGCTCTAATCCATCAAACTTTTACTCTTCACAGCTTCCAGTTTTGTGAAGTTTTATTGGAATACAACTGGGGAGCATAAAATGAGGCCCCCATGGCCCCCATAACCATGCCACTGGACTCCGCATCAGGCTGTTTTCACTTGGGGAGCCCCAGAGGGGGGTGGGTGAGAGCACCTCCCCATCCCCCGTCCTAAGGGACCCAGCCCCAGCAGCGTACCTCCCCTATCCAACTGCCGCCATGCTCCAGGCCACTTTCCACATGCTTGGGCTGAGCCTCACATATGAGTGAACATATTCCTGGACCACGCAGCCTGGACACATCATAAGTCACTCCCTATCCATTTTCCATAATTACCACACCATATCTGATGGGGCAACAAATCATAGAGGGGGATATACATATATATGTATATATATGTATATATGCCTCTCGGAGAGCCTGGCAAGCAACTGAGAGTACCCTGCCCACACGGCAGAGCCTGGCAAGCTACCCATGACGTATTCAGTATGCCAAAAACAGTACCAATAACAGGTCTCATTCCCCTGACCTGGAAAGAGCCTTCAATATGTTGGGAAAGATGAGTAAGGAGAGGCTGCTAAAATCTCAGGGCTGGGACAAATGGAGATGTTACTAGTGCCCACTCGAGTAAGTCGATGAACAATGGGATGACAGTGATACAATGATACAGTTGCTTTTGGGGTTTTTTTTGGGGGGGGGTGTCATACGCAGCAGTGCCTAGGACTTACTCGTTTTTCAGTGCTCAGGGATCTCCTGGCAATACTTGGTGGACTATATGCGGTGCTGGAGTTTGAACTCGGGTTGGTCATGTACAAGGCAATACTAGCTCTCCAGCCCTATGTTGTTTATAATGCTCACTCCCCAGACATCCATCAATATGGGATCAGTGAGCTAAGTTATGGAAAGGAATAGTCACTACATGCAGAAGAACCCAGACCGATTGTTAAATAATTTGAAAAGACAACCCATACGTATATGCTAAGAATACAGGCCAGGTGGGCTGGAGCAATAGCACAGCGGTAGGGCGTTTGCCTTGCATGCAGCCAACATGGCCGACCTGAGTTCGATTCCTCCGCCCCTCTCGGAGAGCCCAGCAAGCTACATCTCGCCCGCACGGCAGAGCCTGGCAAGCTACCTGTGATGTATTCAATTTGCCAAACACAGTAACAACAAAGTCTCTAATGGAGACGTTACTGGGCGTGCTCGAGCAAATCGACGAACAACGGGAGGAGAGTGGTGACAGGCCAGAGATGTGACTCAGCAGAACAGCATTAGCTCTGACTCTTGCCTTGCATGTGTGAGGCACCGGGTTTGTTCTCTGGCACCATCTACTTTGTTATGAATACTTGTTCATAAACTTGAGAGGATTAAAAAAAATGAACTTACGAAAAAGGTAGGGCTGGAGCGATAGCACAGCGGGTAGGGCGTTCGCCTTACAAGCGGCCAACATGGCCGACCCGAGTTCGATTCCTCCGCCCCTCTCGGAGAGCCCGGCAAGCTACCGAGAGTATTCGATATGCCAGACACAGTAACAACAAAGTCTCCAATGGAGACGTTACTGGGCCCGCTCGAGCAAATCGACGATCAACGGGAGGGCCTTTACCTTACCTTTACCTTTACGAAAAAGGTGCTGTGGGAACTGAAGTTCACTGTGTACTGTTTTATGTTTAAACCAATCTGGGCATGAAAACTTGTCAAAATTTTAAAAGTAACCTCAACAAGAGTAAAAAGCAATTATTAGAGAGCAGCATAGAATGCTTTTCACCAAAACCACAGATGTTTTCTTAAATTTATTATGCTACATCATACTGCATAAGCTTTTTCATTAATTTTTTTCCTTTTTTTTTGCTTTTTGGGTCACACCCGGTGATGCTCAGGGGACCATATGGGATGCTGGGAATTGAACCCGGGTCAGCCACATGCAAGGCAAATGCCCTACCCACTGTGCTATTGCTCCAGCCCCTACTAAGTTGGATGTGATTCCTTGTTTTGTTTTTGAAGGAACATAGAACATACTTTAGTTCTCTAAAAACAATGTCTGTCCAATCTCCAGTTTTGTGTCTCTTCAGATTTGCCTCTGGAGAATGGAGAGAAAGAAAAAACGGTAAAGAAGCAAGCAAATGCTCTTCCTTCCCTAATGCGAAGGTTAAATATAGAGTGTTGGGGCTGGAGCAATAGCAGAGCAGGCAGGGGATTTGCCTTGCATGCGGCCAACCCAGTTCAATTCCCAGCATCCTCTATGGTTCCCCAAGCAACTCCAGGAGTAATTCCTGAGTGCAGAGCCAGAGTTACCCCTGGGCACCGAGAGTTGTGACCAAAAAGAGCAAAAAAAAAAAAAAAAAGTAGCGTGTAAGTCAGAGTAAGGCACAGCTTGCCTTGCACATGGCCAACCCAGCTTCAATCACTGGCACCACATATAGTCTCTTGAGTAATCCCTGAGAAGAGCAAGAATAAGCCCTGAGGTGTAGGCCCTCAAAAAAAAAGAAAAAGAAAAAAGAAAAACCCCACAGAAACCAAAAAATCAACCCCCATCAAAAAACCCTTAGAGGCTCTGCAGCAACTGGATGAAAGAGTTCACAAAGCACTGGATCTGTGCAAACAGTCCACCCTGGGTTCTAGGAAAATGAGGCTTCATTCTGGCAGACCTGAGTGAGTGGCTGGCAGAGTGGGAGTCACTGAAGAGAGGTGGGGCTTTCCATTTAAGGGCCCACAGGGATCTGAGCCTCTCTCCTTTCCAAATATGTCGTATAGAAAGGACTCCAAACAGGAGGCTCCCCCAAGGTGGAAGCAGGTCCCACAAGCCTGGAGAGCGGCAAATGTGTCCAAGGGTGGATGGGAAGAACACAGTGGGAGAACTGGCAACAGTGCTGCTGAGCCACTGGCATTAGACTGAGAACTCCTTCCCTGGGTCTCCATGCTGGAATTCCAGAACTTGGGAAAGAAAAGGAGGCTAGAGGGGGGAAAAAGAGGGAAAATATGGTGGGATCAGCTCCAGAGGCTAACCTAAGGGCTAGAAATCTAGGTGAGCCGGGAGGAGTTAAGAGAGGCTCTGGAGCCAGAAACATCCTCGAGCTAGGGGGACTTGGAACACAGAATGGTTCCTGCCTCCCCACCCTCTCCCACTCCCCACCTACCCAGCCCCACAGAAAAGGGCGAGAAACGCCTTTAAAAAGGGATGGGGGCAGAGGCCTGAGAGAGTACAACCCGCAGAGCCTTGCATGTGGCCAACCTGGGTTTAATCCCCTGCACCCCGTTTGGTCCCCATATGGATCCTGGGAGTGTTTCCTGAGTACAGAGCCAGGAGTGAATTCTGAGCAAACCTGGGCATGGCACAAAAACAAAGCAACAAAAAGGTGCAGTTATAGAACAACCATCTTGTTCTACAGAAACTTCCAAGTTTTTTTTTGTTCGCTTGCCTCTTCTGTGCCATGCCCCGCACCACATGAAGCAGGCTACTCTAGGTTCGGTGCTCAGAAGAATAAACGTGGTGTTGGAGATGGAATCAGGGTTGGCTGTGTGCCACGCAAGTACCTTAACCTCTGTCCCAACGATCTTTCAAGTTTCAGAACGCTTAAGTTTACAGAAGTATTATGAACTTCTTCCCCTAAAAAATGTTAGGAAAAAAGTGATTTAAAATTTCAAAATATTGGGGCTGGACCAATAGCACAGCAGGTAGGGCGTTTGCCTTGCACGTGGCTGACCTGGGTTCGATTCCCAACATCCCATATGGTCCCCTGAGCACCGTCAGGAGTAATTCCTGAGTGCAGAGCCAGGAATAACCCATGTGCATTGCCGGGTGTGACCCAAAAAGTAAAAAAAAAAAAATCAAAATATTATTGATGCAAAATGTGACCCAACAATCTAAGGACTAAAAGTTGGATTTATTTCCATTCAATCATTTTA